GTCAGGAAGTCCTTCCTCATGTTTAGCCGAAAACTCTTCTGATTCAATTTCAACCCGTTGGTTTCTGGTCCGACCTTCTAGGGCAACAGGAAACAACTCCGCCCCATCCTCTACAGGACAGCCCTTCAAGTGCTTGAAGATGGTGATCATATCCCCTCTCAGTCGTCTCCTCTCCAGGCTAAACATACCCAGCTCCTTCAGCCTTTCCTCACAGGACTTGGTCTCCAGACCCCTCACCCTCTTCGTTGCCCTTCTCTGAATGTTGTGGACGCAGGGGCGAAAAGAACTGAAACGCCGGTCACCTCTTCTGCCCCCCCGCCTGGCGGGCAGCTAGGCCAGAGAACCCAACAGGAGAGGTACCTACCTGGTCAATGATATTAGCGCTGAAGATGGCTTCTTCCATGTGTCGCTCGTCCGACTTGATGACAGACCGGATGCTGTTGACCACGTGGCGCACCTCCGGCGGGAGGTTGCAGTTCGAATGTTCCAAGAATTTGGCCACCAGGATCTTAGTGTCTTTATAGGTCTGCAGGTCGACTAAGGAGTGGGGACGTTCTTTGCAGAGAGTCTCTAAGGCCTTTGGCTTTCGGGGAAGGTCGGCTTTCCTCGGGTCCCTCGGCTTCCCGGCGGGCAGGAAACGGTTTGCAGAGTCCTGACAAGCACAGGCAGCCACATGAGGACTAGAGACGGGAACTAAAAATGAAGGGGAGTGGGAAGTGGGGGGGAGCGAGAAATGCAGCTTTAACAACCACAGTGAAGTTGAATGCAAGGAAAGCAAATTACTACTGAGGTAGTAATTTAAAAATAAGATAATAGGTGATTGGGCTTTTTTTTTTTGCTTTTGGTGCGTAATTCTATTTCATTGCTATTGTTGCTTTTTATTGCAGGTGTACACAGGTTTAGAAGGTAAAGGTAAAGGTTTCCCTTGCTCAAAAGCTAGTCGAATCGGACTCTAGGGGGCAGTGTTCTGCTTCATTTCCAAGCCAAAGAGCCAGCACTGTCCAAAGACATTTCCATGGTCATATGGCCAGCGTGACTAAATACTGAGGTGCACAGAACGGTGTTACTTTCCCACTTAAGCGATACCTATTATCTACTTGCAATTTCTTGCTTTCGAACTGATAGGTTGGCAGGAGCTGGGGCCAAAGACGGGAGCTCACTCCGTCACGTGGCACTCGGGTCTTGAACTGTCGAACTACGGGCCTTCTGGTCTGCAGAACTCTGGTCTTAACCTCTGAGACACTGCAGCCACTTCGTGCACAGGTTTAGGGGACCTTATTTAAGGCAACAGACACTACTTAGTGGCGAAAGTGTCTGAGGTATGAATTAGGAAGTCCACAGTCTAAACCTTGCTTCTGCCATCAATTTAAGAAGAGGAGGAGGAGGAGATTGCATTTATTCCCTGCCCTTCACTCGGACTCTCAGAGTGGCTTACAATCTCCTTTCCCTTCCCCTGCAGACACCCTGTGAGGCAGGTGGGGCTGAGAGAGCTCTTTCGAGGACTGCTCTTGAGAGAACAGCTCTGAGGAAACTTGTGACTGACCCAAGGTCACACCAGCAGCTGCATGTGGAGAAGTGGAGAATCAAACTCGGTTCTCCCAGATTAGAGTCCATGCTCTTAACCACTACTAGACTTCGCTCTCAGCCCTTCCTCTCGTCGTATGGAGAGAATAATCCTGGTGTACCTTACAGGGCTACTGTGACAACTAGATGAACTGTATTTACAAAGATCTCCACCCGCATTATCTGCCAACTCCCCAGTGTTTTATCACACACAGATCTCCAAGACAGCATGTCAACAGAACCCAGGTTTTGGAGGGCGGGTATAATAAAGTATCATACTCTAATAGAACATGCAGATGCTCATATCATACAATCGAAACCACTGGACATATGATTATGGAGTGCCCTATATTCGATGAGTTGAGGGCTAATTTAGTCGCCCCTTTACTTAAAGATATGGAACTGCTAAATGCGTGAGCCCGGGTGTCGTGGCTACTATCGGATACCAGTGATCATGTCTCCCCCTCAGTGGCAAAATTCATAGGTGCAGTAATGAAATATAAGAGAGATAATACTGAGTAAGGTCTTTTAAAATATTTTCTTTGGTTCTGATTTATGCTTAAGATGATGATAGCTGTATGAGCGGTACTCGATAGAAAGATGATAGCAGGACTTTTTTTTGTAGAAAAAACCCAGCAGGAACTCATTAGCATAATTGGCCACACCCAACAGCAGAAACGTATTATCTTATTAGGCCACACCCCTGACAGCACAGGTCATTAGCATATGAGGCCACACCCCTGTGTTACCAGAAGTGTGGTCATCCAGACACACACACCTTTTGCTTCTTATTCTGTTTACCTTGTTTGTTGTCAAAACCCAGGGCTTCTTTTGTAGCAGGAACTCCTTTGCATGTTAGGCCACACACCCCTAATGTAGCCAATCCTAATGAGTTCCTGCTGTGGGGTGTGGCCTATTATGATAATGAGTCCCTGCTGGGTGTGGCCAACTCGGGAGCCAGCCGGAACTCCGTTCCTGTGCGTTATGCCTAATGAGTCACTGCTGTGGGGTGTGGCCTATTATGATAATGAGTCCCTGCTGGGTGTGGCCAACTCGGGAGCCAGCCGGAACTCCGTTCCTGTGCGTTCCTGCCCAAAAATAGCCCTGGATGATAGATAGATAGATTCTTAGACTA